GAGAAGGATATCAGATCAAGCGTCAAACACGCCAACACCGCTGCGGAGATATGGGCTGATCTTGAAGAAAGATTTGGCAAGGAAAATGCTCCTCGAGCATATGAACTAAAACAGACCTTGACCACCACGGCTCAGAACGGTGCATCTGTTTCAGCCTATTACACCAAGATGCGAGGAATGTGGGACGAAATACAAACTGTGTCACCAACACCTTATTGCACATGCGGAAGGTGTACATGTGATGCTGGAAAAAGACTTAACGAAGCAAAAGAAAAGGAGAGGCTCTACGAGTTTTTGATGGGACTTGATAATGAATTTGCAACGATTAAGACTCAGATTCTTGCCTCGAAACCAACTCCTACGCTTGGCACTGCTTATCATCTAGTCGCAGAAGATGAACAACAAAGAGCTATAGCGGCCACAAGAAGACCCATACATGAGGCTGCTGCCTTTCAAAGCTTTGCTCAGAACAGAAGGGAAGGAACCAATGACTCAACAACACAGCGTAATAAAGGCGGTACGAAGGAGGCAAGACGCAACGGCAATGATGAAGTTGAAAATTGTACCTTCTGTGGTAGAACGGGACATAATAAAGATGGTTGCTTCAAACGAATTGGCTATCCCGATTGGTGGCCCGGAAAAGGAAAGAAAGAAAAAGGTCGACCCAAATATGTGTTTGCCAACACTGAAACCACACAAGTATCCATCATGACGAACGAACAATATCAGGAGCTACTCAAACACTTTAAGAACACTAACAAAGAAGGTGTAGGACCTGTCGACAACATGGCTGGTAAGGATGCAGGCAACAATTCATGGATTGTTGATACAGGTGCTACGGAACACATGACTTGTGATCTGAATCTACTTGAAAAAAGGGTAGATTGCAATCATGAGACACCTGTCACCATACCAAACGGAGATTCCATTCCAGTTAAAGGAAAAGAGAATTGCAATTTGCCAAACGGAATTAGAATTGGGAATGTGTTATTCATCCCTGATTTTAAATGCAACTTACTCTCTGTCAGTTGAATAACCACAGATTTGAACTGTGCAGTAACTTTTTACCCTGATTTTTGTCTTATACAGGGCTTACTCGAGAAGAACTTGATTGGCATGGGTAAGTGCAAGGGTGGTCTCTATCGAATGGATTCGGTGGCAGAAAAGAAAATGGCAATGATGGCTGCACCAGATATTGAAGTTTGGTACAAAAGACTTGGTCACACTTCAGACTCCAAGTTACATTATTTTGAGTTTTTAGAAAATTTTGTTCCTAGGTCAAATAATAGTGTTTGCGATTCGTGTGTAAAAGCAAAACATACCAGACTTCCTTTTCCTAAAAGTTCTATTAAAACGATTGAATGTTTTGATTTACTTCATTGTGATATCTGGGGAAATTATCGAACTCCTTCGCTCACAGGGGCAAGCTATTTTTTGACTGTGGTTGATGATTTTAGTAGAGCTGTTTGGGTGTTTTTGCTTAAACAAAAATCAGAAGCAAGCAATCATCTGATCAACTTGTGCAATATGATCAAGACTCAATTTGGAAAAGAAGTCAAAAGAATACAGAGCGACAACGGAGGAGAATTCACCTCGGGCTTCATAAGTGATTTTTATGCTTCCAAAGGTATCATTCTTGAGACTTCTTGCCCTACACCCCGCAACAAAATGGTGTCGCTGAACGAAAACACAGACACCTTCTTGAGATAGCTAGAGCCTTAAGATTTGAGGCTAACTTACCCATCAAATTTTGGGGAGATTGCATCTTAACAGCCACTTACATCATAAATAGGCTTCCTTCCAAAGTTATAAACTTTAAAACTCCTTTTGAGGTTCTTTTTAAGCAAAAACCAGCATATGACCACATGAGGATTTTTGGTTGTTTGGTATATGCTAGAAACATAGAAACGAAGGGAGATAAGTTTGAAGTGAGGGGGAGGCCTGGGATCTTCATCGGATACCCTCAAGGATAGAAAGTATATCGTATATATGACATTGATACACACAAAATCATTGTCTCAAGGGATGTGAAATTTGTAGAAAACGAGTTCCCTTTTATGTTGACCAAAGTAAAAGAAGATTGTGCAGAAATAAGGGAAAATGATTGGGAAATTAAAGATGCAACCACTGATGACGCCTTTCACACCTCAAAAAATATCGATGATGGCATTGAAGTTGAAGAAGCAAGGGAGAGTATTGAAGAAACTAATGAGGAGTTGACCATAGTTGCTCAAGTTGTACTCGAAGACCCTGTGAACAACCCCGTGACCCAAGACACAGAAACAACTACACATGTTCAAAAAGAGAAAAGGAATAGAGCACCACCGAAATGTTTTGAAGATTTCTTCGTCAAGCTACCACCTTCGATAGACCACACACGACCCACAAAGCCATCAAGCTTCTTCGACGGTACATTTCCTAACCCACTATCTTTCTTATGACAAATTTTCTGATAAACATAAGGCTTTCTTGTCTGCAATTAGCTCCAACAGTGAGCCAAAACATTTTAAGCAGGCTATGCAAGATGAAAAATGGGTTACGGCAATGAAAGATGAAATCAAAGCCCTCGAAAACAATGGTACTTGGACCCTTGAAAACTTGTCTGAGGGTAAACGAGCCATCGATTCCAAGTGGGTGTATAAAATAAAATACAAACCAGATGGTGAAATCGAAAGATATAAGGCGAGATTGGTTGCAAAAGGATTCACACAAATGGAGGGGGTCAATTTTCATGACACTTTTGCCCCTGTTGCTAAATTGGTAACAGTCAGAACACTCCTTGCTGCTGCAACCAAGAAGGATTGGATTGTACATCAACTCGATGTGAATAATGCCTTCTTGTATGGTGACCTCAAAGAAGAAATTTATATGAAAATTCCAGATGGTTTTTCAAGAAAAGAAGAAACACGGGTTTGTAGATTGCAAAAATCTCTTTATGGCCTTCGTCAGGCATCTCGCAACTGGTACCAAAAGTTCACTTTGGCACTTACTGGATTGGGATTTCGACAAACCCATGTTGATGCCTCTTTATTCATATTCAACAATAATGATGTTTTTGTTGCTGCCTTAATTTACGTTGATGATGTCATTATTGTCGGTAACAGTGCCTCAAAGATACAAGAAGTAAAGTCCTTTCTCGATCAAAAGTTCAGCATTAAGGATTTGGGTCCGTTGAAATATTTCTTGGGAATAGAAGTGGCACGTACACCTGATGGTAATGTGCTTAGTCAACGCAAGTACACACTTGATATACTTGAAGACAGTGGTTTAATGGGATGTCGTCCGAGCTTGTTTACGATGGAACAAAATTTACAATTGCATCAAGACCACGACAGTCCCAGGGTAGATGCTTGCCAATATCGTCGTCTTGTTGGAAGAATGCTTTATCTCCAAGCTACCAGACCAGACATTGCTTATTCAGTCAACATGCTTAGTCAGTTTGTATCTGATCCTCGACAATGCCACATGGATGCCGCAGTCAGAATCCTACGTTACCTAAAGACCACTCCGGGTCAAGGAGTTTTTATACCAAAGGAAGGAGGTCTTGATCTTATAGCCTATTGTGACTCAGATTGGCTTGGATGTGCTTTTACACGGCGATATCGTTCAGGTTACTTGCTACTCCTAGGTGGAACACCCATCTCTTGGAAAACAAAGAAACAAACAGTTGTCTCGAGATCTTCCGCTGAWGCCGAGTATAGGGCTATGGCAACAACTGTTAGTGAAGTTTTGTGGGTTCGTTGGTTACTTGGAATTCTGCAGGCACCTCAAACTAGCGCTACACCTCTTTTCTRTGACAATCAARCGGCTCGGCATATTGCTAATAATCCTGTTTTTCATGAAAGRACCAAACACGTTGAAATGGACTGCTACTTTGTCCGTGAGCGTGTTGAATCACAAGAAATCAAACCTCTCATTGTTGACACGAAAGTACAAGTGGCTGACATCTTCACTAAGGCATTGGRCGCAKRTCAATTACGGAAGCTACTTGACAAGTTGGGCATTCGAGACTTACATGCTCCAACTTGAGGGGGAGTAAAGGATTTTGTTATTATCCTTTCCTTATCCTTTATCTTACTTACCTTTTATTTCTCCTATTTTTATGTTTCTTAACCTTTATCTTCTTTGAGAGTTTTTTCTTTATTTGATTAGGATTGTTTCCTTATTTGATTTGTAATTAGGATTGTTACTCCTATTTAAAAGACCAAGCTCATTTAATAAAATTTAAGTTTTTCGATCTATAAAAATTTTTATACTATAACTTAAAAACGATGGCATGTTAATATTTTTTGAAAGCTAAGCATATTTTTGGAGAATGATAAGATGAAGTATATTTTTATATTAGTTAAGGAAAAAAAAAACTCATATTTGTCATACTTTGATCATCAGAATGCATATATTTGATATTTTAAGAGCATGTAATTTGGTTTTGTTTTGACTTTATCCAAACATATATAAAAAATAAATGTAAGAGAAAATCCCAAAACCAAAATAAAAGTTTCAGTGTGTTGCTTTGGGAAGTGGGAAAAGGAAGCTCCTAGAAAATACCATATTAAATACTCCATCACCACTGCCATTGCCCTTGCCCATGCATTTGCTGTCAGAACTCATAACTCATCCATCCTAATCCTATTCTTCTTCCTGCTTCTTTTACAATAGTTTTGTGTAATCCACTCACAATTTTCCATCATATAAAACAACATACATATTCCTAACTTGTAATATATATAATATTACAACTGGGGATCTTAAAAACTAATCAGTAATTAAAACAACTAATTAACTTTTATCTTTTTCTTTAAAGGAACTTAGTTTATTGATATTAATTAAAATAAAATTTCTACATTGAGAATTATGATACAAACAAACACATGGAGGGATGATGTCACATGTATGTCATCATGAAAAAGGGGGATGACCTGTACCATATATCTGTAATTATGTAACATAAAATAATATTTTAGTATTTTATATATTGGAAAATGGTAGTAGGTGAGTTGCCTATTTAAATGATGCAACTCCTCTCCTTCTCTCTCTATCTCTGTGTGTTGTGTGTGTGGTAATTAAACTTTACATAGTTACATAGAATCTAGCTAGTTGAGTGTAAATATGAGTTATTTGGGTGTTGGTGTGAGCCCAGGGAATGTCCCTGTGTATCATGGGAGTGATTTGAAGGTGGTTGATCAGAGGGTGAGACTTGCTGAGTTGATATTGAGGACTGTCATTTGTGGTTTGGCCCTTCTTGCTGCTGTTCTTGTGGCTACTGATACTCAGGTTAAAGAAATCTTTACCATCCAGAAAAAAGCCAAATTCACCGACATGAAATCCCTTGTGTAACCCTCTTCTCTCTCTCTCTCTCTCTCTCATCTGTTCTTTAATAATGTTTTCTTGCATGATCTTCCTTTATGGATTAGGGGGGCTTTCTTGTTCAAAGTTGCATATGTATGTGTGTGTGTATATATATATATATATATATATATATATATATGTTGAGAAATGTATTATTGAATTGGGTACTGTTTGTTGATGATGAAATGCAGGTTTTTGGTGATAGCCAATGGAATAGCTGCAGCCTACTCATTGGTACAGATATTGAGGTGTGTGGTGGGTATGGTTAGAGGAAGCGTTCTCTTCAACAAGCCCTTGGCATGGCTTATTTTCTCTGGTGATCAGGTATATATATTCACTCTTTTCTGTGTTCAATTGAATCAGTGATTCCATTGTGTACTTTGTGAGTTATGGTGCATGAGAATGTTGGATGGGTGAATTAGTGAAAATTATCATAATTTTGGGCCTACGAATCATGTTAGCCTTTATTCAGAATCGGGCATTTATTTATGGGGAATATTTGAGACTTGTAAATTAACACACCCTTTCCTGTAGAAAGAAAGAGACATGCTTTCAAGACCAACAAGGAAACCACCAATTAATGTCATCCTTCTAATTCACTTGCAAGATGTTTGTAGTTTAAATTAATGGATGGATGGTACTGCTCTCCCAGTATTTGAAAATCAGAATTCATTTATGTTTTTTACCACCAACATAAATTAATCCATAGCCTGAAATCAATCCGGGTTCAAATCCCGTTGTCTATATATGCACTTGTGGGTACCCGGAGATTTACCTACGTGTGGACGCCCGGAGATTTACCTACATATGCACTTGTGGACACTGGGTATTTACCTCAAGGCCAAGTCTATCACCCATTTCCAATTAAAATCTACAGCCTTGGCATTTAGTTTACTATTGGTTTTTTTAACTTTACAGCCTATTATGGAATTTGAAATTTTATCTTCTTCCATGTGAAAGCTGAGGACTAACAGAGTTATGGCAAACACCCAACTCTGATATGCATCCTTTGTGATTTATTGCACAATTTATTTCTCTGGTGTTACTTTGGTACCCGTAGTCCACATGTCAACTTGCTGATTCTAGTCTTCTGTGCCAACAATTCATTTTATACATAAATTTCTTCACCAATACTCCCCTAAAATCACTCGTTATAATACCCCACCCAATTCCATCCGGATATATTATCATTTTCATTGGACGGTTTTGTTTTTTTTACTTCAAATTTCCCTGCTCTCTCAAGTCTATGGATCATTGAAGATAATAGATTATTGCATCACTAGAGAAAAGTGGTATCATATAAAGCATCAAAGCTCCCTAACTTGTAATATATAATATATTTTGGCAATTTTGCAGCTTATGACTTACATGACAGTGGCTGCAATAGGTGCTGCAGCACAATCAGCAGTATTTGCCAAATTTGGAGAACCAGAGCTTCAATGGATGAAGATATGTGATATGTATGGAAAATTCTGCAACCAAGTTGGAGAAGGGATAGCAAGTTCAGTCTTTGTTTGTGCAAGTATGGTGATAGTCTCTGGCATATCAGCATTTAGCCTCTTTCGGTTGTATGGTGGAAATAAAGGAAGCAAGACCAGTGCCGGATGGTGAAACTAATTAAGCCTTTTCTGATGGCTTTTAGGCGATGGTCATGAGCCATGACCATGGTTGTGTAAGCTTGGGTTGCCTTTTTAGCCTTTAGAACGTATGATAAAAAAGCTTGTAAGATTGAAGTTACTGGTTTGAATGATTGAACCTATTAAACAACAGATTGATTCATGATGATAAAAACGCTACTACATGATAATGAAGTTACCAAAAACATAAAAAAGCTTATTTTATAGTATTATTATTGAACAAGAGTTGATAACTAGGAATCGCAGTAAAATAGTGTTTTCAAGATACAAAGATGAAGGGCATAAATTTCACATCCTACAAACCGGATGAACAAGAGAGCTCCACATCAAACTACTCTAAGAATAACTTTAATAGTGCATATACTTACCATATGTGTACTTGTTTTCATCTGATCTGCAACCTGCTCGACCAAGAATCTTCCCTGAATTGACATGATGGTGATTAGTCGAACTTTTTGACAATTTTCTACCAAAGCCAATATCATGAAACCTTGTATCATTGTACGATGAGTTCTCATGATATTCAATGGCTTCAAATTCCTGCATTGTCCATTCTTGAATGTTAAAGAGAAGCAGAGAAGAAAGATGAAAACTTGATCCAAGAATCTTGTTTAAGCTTACCTTAGACTTGGACTTGGCATAAGGTGTTAAACAAGGGTTTAGATCATTTAAGAACATGTCATCTGGACTGCCAGGGGTTGTTCGGTCCCCAGAGCTGAACTCCTGAATCATAATACAAGGATGGTAAAATTCATTTTAGTTATGGTTATGGAGCATTGGAACATCAGTCATCATTTCCATTTTCTAGATGTTGATTTACATGCTTACCAGAGAATTGGTTGCTTCTTCTTGCTCATATGTAGGTGTTCTTGGAGAGCTTATAAGACCATCATAACATCCAGAGACTGAATATTTGTCGGCTTTCACCTATCACCAACATGTTTAAAACTAGTTAGACATGCAAAAGGCTAAACTCCTCCAACACTAAATATTTGGTAATTTTTGAGCAAAATGATTGTCGGCATTCTACACGATCAAAGCCAAATATAAATTTGAACAAATATGGCATTGAAATGCAGAATATCATTAGCTACCTCTGCTAGATCCTCAGCAAGGCACTGAAGTTGGCCAGTCAGAGAAGTAACCTGCTGCTGGAGGGTAGGGATAACTTGTTTTGCCTGTTTTAGTTCAGAATCCTGCTTCTCTAGAAGTCCTTGGAGCTGTGTATTCATCACATCTGGGAACAGAATGGCACTCTTCAAAGACTTGATCTCTTCCCTTTGTTTCAAACAAAGATCTTTAAGCTTGTCTACCTGCAGCACATCAGACAATAACAGTAGTGAGTTTCATGTAGCACTGTTTAAGTTTAATAAATATATATTACATTAGCAACACTCAGATCAGTAAAAGTGAATAAGAGAACTTTCTAGAGAAAAAAAAACAGAGCCATGAAGAAAGAAGTCACTTATTTCTGGATGCCCCTTCCCTAGAAAATATTTACCACAACACAAAAGAATATCTATGAAGTTCATTATAGATCAAATGTGTTGTCTTATTTGTTCAAGTCCAACTCTTGAAGGACTAAAAGGTAGGGGTGGCAATGAGTCAGGTTGGGTTAGGTTGGGTTCGGGTTCAACCCATTTTTTAAACAGGTTGAAAATCTCAACCCAACCCAACCCAACCTATAACCTAAATGGGTTGACAGCAAGTTGACCTGTTTACCAGTTTTTTAACGTAACTTGTTAAATAAATTGGTTGAACCTGGGTTGACCCATTTAATTCTAAAATTTTAAATAAATAAAAAAACTAGACTATTTAATTTTTTTGAATAAAACGCAACACAACCATAAATACAAACAAATTGTTCAAAGTTTGAATAAAATACAACCACAACAAATATATTAATTGTTCAAAATGAATTAGAAAATTTTAAATTCTAAGTAACTCGACTTCCACTTTCACCGACCCAAGTTCACTCTCGGACGCCTGGACAGAGAAAACCGAGCGGAAGACAATTAGACAAATGTTGGACGGAGAGAGAGGCGAGAGGAAGAAAAACGCTGCACAAAGAAAAAGCCGACATCGAGAGGGCGAGAGGTGGACAACAGACTTGAAGAGTTGGATTGGAGTTTGGAGGCGATAATGGAGTAATGGACTAAAGGGTTTTCTTAGGGTTTCATGATGATTAAGAGTAATGGAGGCGATTGGAATTTGAACACTTTCATCTTACGACAGTAGAATTTTTAATTAAGAATAAAACAAAATTAAAAATCAGAATACTAGATATAATATTAAAAATAAAATAAAATTTTATAATATTTCAAATGGGTTGGAAACAGGTCAAAAACTTCAACCCAACCCAATCCAACCCAACCCAACCCATTTATTTAAATGAGTTAGGCGGGTTGACCCATTTATTTAAATAAGTTGAAAATCTCAACTCAGCCTGCTAATTTTGGGTTTGGTTAGGGTTGGATTAGTGGGTTGGGCATTTTTTGCCACCCCTACTAAAAGGGGACTACTAATGTTTAGTACAGTTTTGTAGGGACCCTTTATGTAAATTCTATGTATTTAAAAGTCTGTTAATTCAGTTAATTAGATAATATTATTATATGCTGTTTATTTGAACAGAGCATTTAACATTTCCTTATTCAAATGTATACGTTCTTGATCCTCAATTCATCTTACAATCATTTATTTATCTCTCGTGAGTGTTTATGGTACCAAAGCTTATCAATCAAAACAAATTAAAAAGTTAGAAAGACATCTATTGACCTGCTACTGAATGCAATCTAATCCCTTGTTTCTGCACAGCATCAATCATATCCTAGGATGATCTTGATTTCTCAAAAATTGATAGGCAAAGAATAATTCTCTTCTTGGAACAGATCTAAAAGGATAGCCTCATCAGCCGAAAAACAAAATGGCTATCATGAAGATACGTTTACTAAACCTTCCAAGAGCCAATGTTATAGCGATTCATTGTATTTTTGACACTATGATAAAAACCCACTAAAGGTGTACTCGAGGAAAAGAAAGAATTCTATTTTTGGGAATTGGCTGAATCCACTAGGCCAAAACAATTGATGGTCAACTGGCTGAATTTACTCAAATCAATTGATAAGTAACATCCCCCGGCCCCGTTTTAGCGGGAAATCCCCATCCCCGTTCGAGTTGGGTGAACCGGGTTCCCCACCGGGTCAGAGCAAATCACCATTCCTATACCACACTTGAGTTTAGCAGTTACCATACTTAATTCTAAGAATAGGATAGTATAAATAACAGGTTTGCTTATCATTGTCATCATCGAAGTTGCTCATATTTATCTTTCTTGCAAACGGAGACCTTGCCCCTCTCGAATCAGGCCACTATCAATAAAATGCTATCCTATTCCTATTCTTATTAATTTAGTACCTATCACACTATAAATCCAGATATTGGCAACAATGTTCAATTCTATGGCTTCCATAGTTTGAAAGGAATTCAATGAAAGATGTATGGTAATAGATGGTCACAGAATCTTTCAAATCCAGCATGAAATACATCAGCTATGCCATCATTACACATCTGCGGAAGTTTAATGGAAAACACCTCATGAAGTCGTGTTCAAGTAAAAGCCTTCTTAGTTCTTATACTCATTTGAAGACTATAGGATTGTGCCATTTAGTACTTGTGATAACTCAAACCTAAAGACATTAAAGAGTGTTATTAGGATATCCTCATTATTAAAAAGGCTATGTGGGTTTTGATATTGAGATTTGAGAATAATAACATTTTACTTCAGAAGAGTTCCCTTTCAATAAGATTAGAACTACATAAACAGATCTTGCCCCATTTGAGCCTTGAATATCTCCAAGTTCGGCAACTCAATATCAGTAACAGTAAGATCATTTCACCCATTAACAAGTCAAATGCTTAATCATCTCAGACACCACATGAGCACCATAACGAGAAAGATAACTCCTCAAATATCAATGATGATAGTGAACTTATCTCTCTTAATGGAATAGAACATGTACAAATCAGAAAATCAAACAAACAGTATATATTATCATCCAAATACGAAGACTGTTGTTGGATATAAACCTTTTATTCACTCAGTTACTCAGGCTAAGTATAAAACTATACAGGTAATTAAATTATTTTCAGTTCAATAATCACTCGTGTGTTTTTGCTACATTAGATCAAATTCCAGAACCACAGTCGAATAAAGAGCTTTGAAAGATCCAAGGACGGTAATTATGGAAAAAGATTTATACATTGCTAGTTTGAAATACTTGGACCCTCGCAGATTTACAAAATAAAATACAAATCTGCAGGAGAGATGAGACTATTTTTTAAGGGTGTCCCAGGCTATGCCTGGACTAATCCCAGTAAATTGTGAACGCGAGAAATGAGTCCTGATAAACTCAATGACCACAATTGTTGTGTACGCCCGAACCCAAGGTAGATGAGATATTTCACCACATCCCCCAAGGCCTCAACCACTACACAACAATCCTGGTGAGGTGAAACTATTTAAGGCTATATTAGTTGCAAAAGGGTATAGCCAATCTCAAGGGATTTATTTTCAAGACAGATTTAACGTCAGTAGCAAAGATAAAAAAAATTATTAGTCATTTAGCTGCATTCAAACAATGGCACATCCACCTATTAGATGTAAGCAATGCTTTCATAAATGAAGACATATAAGAATATGCGTATATGGTGCCACCTCAAGGCTATTTAAAGAATGAATCAACTCCTATTCAAATTAAATAAGTCTTTGTATGGATTAAAGCAAGAGAGGTCAAAGATCGAGGCTTTCCACCTACTCAGACGCCTCATAGAGAAATTTAGATAGCATAGTAAGGATCTACACACGGTGTATAGACACTTGGGGGAGGTAGGAGTTGTGCCTATAAGTATAACAGATGAAGTGAGGGAGAGAAAACTGTAGTCGTTTGGCCACATGCGAAAGAGACCGATGATTGCAAAGGTGAGAAGGGTATAAAACGTTTCAGTGGAGAGCTTTCACAAGACTTCAGTAGAGAAGATGGAGGTTATATCCCCATGCTTGGCTTTTGCTAGAAAAGCACTCAAATCACTTTCTCATAATTTTAGTCTTTTGTTTCTCTCTTGAAGCTTTTAGTTAGTTTTTCTCCTACTCTCACGATTCAAACATTTGATCTTCATTTTAGTTGTAATATTAATACATTTTAGGTTGTAAAATGATATAAAGTTGGGAGTTGAAGCTTTGGTTCATCACTTGACTACCAATCTCTTTCCTTTATTTATTTTGTCTAGTTGGTTAAATCACCATCTTCTTATCATCTTGTTAGTTTATAGATGCTTGTCTTATTTTCATGTTAGATCAAGATTTCATGATGATAGGTTATGAAAATGAGATTTATGATTTTGGATGATGTCGGGCATAGGAATGGATATGTTGGGGTGGTGGTGGTTGGATTTATATGTGTGATTAGTTCACGTCCATGTAGTGTTGTGTGTTTATATTTAAGTTAATGTGTATTTAGTCTAATAGAAAGATTTTATTTTGTTATTTTGTTTATATAATGAGTTGTTAAAAGTTGCTTTTAATTTAGTTTAGTATAAGGTTGTGTGGTGCTGTTGCATGTATTTATTTGAGGATTTGGCGAAATTGGGTTTAAACCTTCGACTATCAGGTGTCGATCTTACCGTCCATCGTCAATGAAAGTTTGGTTATTATCGGAAACTGGTTGTTCGATAATCTTTTATTTAACAAATCAATTTATGAATGGAAGTATGATTTTGATTATTGGTCGCTTAGTCAACGATTCTAATGTTTCTAGTTACTTTTATCCGCTTTCTTATTTTATTGTCTGTAGCTTAAATTGTAGTTGTTAATCACTCTCTTGAATTGTCTTTCACATAGCTAGTTCATGAGCAGAATTACTACTTAGATCATTGCTTTGCAACCCCTACGCTACAACATCCGTACGCTTGCAGAATAAATATATAACACATCACATGTTGGACAGGATACCGGCCAAGATCTTTTGGGGGAGCTAGGAGTTGTGCCTATAGCGGATAAAGTGTGGGAGGGAAGATTGTAGTGGTTTGGCCATGTGCACAAGGGATTGGATGATTGCAAAAGTGAGAAGGGTATAAAACATTTAGGTTACGGGAGTGAGTATGAGCGGCAAATCGTGGAAGACATGGGATGAGTAGCTGAGACTAGACATGAAAACATTATATGTTTCCAATTACATAACCTCTGAGGAGTATTTGGAGAAGATGCATTAGGGTAGCGGATGTTGGGTAGACTCGGTTAATAGGGTAGCTTCTAGGTTAGGTAGTCGAGAGGCTCTTTGACGTATAAATAAGAGTGTCCCTAGAAGGTCTCTTTATATGTGGATTCTAGTGCATTATACCTCCTGTATGTACTGTTCTACTTTTTGTACACTCTAGTATCTTTTCTGGTCTATTGCCCTTCGCAAACTCCTTTATTTTACACCTTTTCCTTGACAAGCACCAACTCTGTTTGTTTGCGCATATTCGTCTCTATTTCTATACATGATTGCTATCTTCTCAAATTATCCGCTACAACATCCATAATTTAGATTGCCTCAGAAATTTTCAAGTGAAATCAAGCTCAATAGCCAACAAACTAACCATCAAATTGAGTATATATTACCCTCCAAGATCAAAATCCGAGTACACGAATACCATAAAGAACTCGGTTTAAAAAAACAGTTGCTTGTGTCTGTGATTGTTTGTGCAAGTTACAAGGTTTATCTTCTTAAGCAAGTTGGGTCTCCTAGGTCTAAGATTTTAGCTGAAAAATGTCTATAATGTGGCATTCATTTTTGAGCTTTAAAAACACAAATTATCAAATCAATGATCTACATGATTTTCCCAGTAAACAGATTAAAGTGATGGTAGACAACAAAATAGTCATAGAAAGACCATCAAAGATTCAACTACAAAGTGTGTGCACAAGTACCTCTCTGTTTTTCTCCTCGAGCATCAATTTCAGCTCTGTTATCTCCACCTCTTGATCCTTGTTCTGACTCAAAAGCTCCCTCTCACTTCTCAACACCATCGCCAAAGTCCTAGCATTCGGCTTGGCTTCAGTCAAGGCCTTCTTCTTCCCCTCACTCTCGTCCCCTTTACCTTTGTTACCAAATAACTTCTTATGCAATCCTCCCAAAGCTGTCGTTCCACCTCTCCTGGAACTCATTGTGCCCTTCTTCTTCAAATCATCAGCAATGAAGGTAGTAAGATCCGCGGCCACCACAAAGTCCCTTGCTTTGGGCTTTATGGAGGAGGAAGACCTCTTCTCCATGAACTTCTTAACCATAGCAGTCAAATTCTGGTCGTTCTTAGTGGATTTGGATTTAGCAAGGGCATAAGAGACATCCGGATTTTTGGTTTGATTGAGGTGGGTTTTGTTCAGGTCGGTGGAGGAGGAAGGATCGGATTGAGTGGAGGATCGATTGTAACGAGAAGATGACCTAAAAGAAGACATTTTTAGGCTTGAAGATTAACTAACGATCAGCATCAGCATGTAGCCATTTCTAGGGTTCTTGAACGCAGAGATGGAGTTTGATTGGATTGGGGAGGTGGGCGGGCTGTCCGAATTCGAAATGATTCAAACGAAAGGGGCGCGGGGTTTTGAATTCATTAATGAATAGAATATATTTTTTATTTTTTATTTTTTATTTTTTATTTTTTATTTTTTATTTTTTATTTTTTATTTTTTTATTTTTAAGGAGTAAACTACGATTTTAGTCCCTATGATTTGTTGTTTATAGCAATTTTCGTCCCAAGTCTTCAATTTCGTCACTACGGAATTGCTTATGCCCTTGCAAAACTAGTCTAACTAGATTGTTTGATACGATTGTAAACGTACTGGTTTTGTAGCATCCATGTCAATCACAATGAGGCAACGATAGATCAACATCTCTCAATCTTAGATTATGAGTCAGCTACTAGATATAAAAGAGAATAAATGTTAACTAAACCAAAAAAACAAAACTGGGAAGAGACGCTCTATGTACCCAGACAAACAAGAAACCTCATTCAACAATTAACATAACTTTGAGCAAGAAGACAAACACCTACACCTCTATTTCTAGATGAGAAACACATTTTCCATCACAAATCATATCTACCTCTAAAATCATCTATGAATGTGTAAACTAGTATCTTAGGACCAAATTAAATGAACTCACAAAGCTAGCTTTAACAAGTAGTTATCATGCAACATGAACTAAAAAGAGATGGGTGAATTATGGGGTGAAATCCCCAACTACTAATAGAAACCAACATCCTCGAGTTGACACAACATAATTTGATGCAAATGCAATGCTGGAATGGCAAAAAATAGAACAAAAATGGAAGTTTAAATCCTAAAAAGACAACACAAAAAACAGTTAAAACAATCTAGCAAGTATGTCAAGATCATCTATAAAAGAAGTTTTATCCTACATATGAAACTCTGCACATTACTGAATCAAACCAACTAATATTTATTGCCCATTTTCATATCTTTCAAGTCAAAGTTTTCTCCATCGGAGTCTTCACTTTTTGCTTATTATTTTCTATTGGTTTTAAACATATGCCTTCTTCTTCTTTAAGACAACACCCTTCAACTTTTTCAGAGCTGGTAGTTCTTTTCCCTTCTTTTCAGCTGCTTCAGTTTCAATAGATGCAACAACTTTATGATCCACTGAAGACAAACCATTTCCAGATCCAGATGATCCACCCAAAGTTATGCATCTTTGGAGCTTCATATTAGACTTCACATTTGATGATATAAAATTCAGTACATCAGGCTTTGGGTTTAGTTCTACCCATATGTTATCAACCCAATCTTTTGAAGTTCTTAGCTTCTCATTTTCAAAGTTCTGGAATTTGTTTTCACCTGAGTCAGGCGGAATACCAAATTATTATTCAAGTTTTGTGCCAACTTCATTAAAAAAAACTCTAGAATAAGCAGATAATTAAATGAAAATGGGAAGTAGTAACTTGGGGGGATACCAGGAAAGTAAACATGAAAAGGGTTTTTTCCACGGATGTTGGTTGCAACTACAACACCTTCCCACCAGCCATCACACCACCATGCATCTACTGGTGCTCCAATGCTAAAAGAACCATTTGAAGAATTTTTTGCAGGAAATGGACGAATAGTATGGCGTCCTAAGCATCTCATGCCCAACTTATCAGGAACCGCAAGTCTATACGCAAGAACCCATTCCTACAGATGAAAAAAGATTTAGAAAAAACAGTTACTACACTCATAGTTGAAAAGATAAAGACCATAAACAGTTGCATACCTCTAGATTCCCAGAACCCTCTACATCCTCCACATCCATGTATAGAACTTTCAAAACCTTCTCTGATACCTGCAAGATTTTACATCTAAACCAACAACCTCGAATCCCACTATCATTACTAAGCACTTCAATCTCTTCACCAACACTAAAAGAAGGAATCTCATGATGAGGCTCAGATGTTCCATCAAGTCCTTTACTTGACAACTTAATTTTTGATTTTGGGTCAGTTGGTTGGGTTTTTTCTACCTTATTATCAGAAATCGAATTATAAATTTTTAAAACTCCTATGGGACTTTGTCCATCAAGTCCTCCACTTGATAACTTAATTTTCATTTTTGGGTCAGTTGGTTGGGTTTTTTCTACCTGATTATCAGAAACCGAATTTGTAATTTTTAAAACCCCTCTGGAACTTTGTCCATCAAGTCCTTTACTTGATAATTTAATTTTCATTTTTGGGTCTGTTGGTTGTTCTACCTGATTATCAGAAATCAAATTTGTAATTTTTAAAGGCCCTCTGAAACTTTGAATCTCCTTTGCACCTTGGCAAGCAACAACCTCCTTTTTTTCTTCTCTAGATGTTATTTGTGGCTTGAGCTTGTTAGGGCCAATTGAGAGGTCTAAAACAGAGAAGATTGTTTGGCTTGAGTAACCACGCAATTTAGACAAAGGAAATGGTGTGATCTTGTTTTTTTTGATCTGCCTAGAGCACATGTATATCCCATCTGAGAAATCTTCTGAAAGAACAGCCAAGCAATGCTCGTAATGCTTAGGAGTCAAAACGGTGGCAAGCCCATCAACACACTCTGCACTCACAACCTGAAAATGAGGTGTGATGATAATCTCATGAGGACGAGGCTCAGAAATTAGACCACTGACTTCATCAGTGCGATGAAACCATCGCACTTTAACCATTTTTTGGTTCCTGTAATCCTCGTATAGGTCTTCCAAGTAACCAATGTTATGGCTGTCTTCTCCAGCCAGAATGAAGACAAAAGAATAAACCTGAACAACAAAAAGGATTTGTGAGATATGTGGAACCCCATCAGATTACTGTGCAAAAGAGCCCTTGAGGAGAAATGATCCTAATCTAGCCGATGTGGAACTCCGACATGACTTAATATATGACTAAAGGATTAACATAAGAAAAACAAGAAAAAAGAGGAACAAAGGCAATGCTTACAGGTATTGTGGTTCCACTCCTGCAAAAAGCTGGATAATGTTTCAGCTTCTTACAGCAACTTGAAGCACCACCAGACCATATAATGTCAGAATTTTCACCTTCTAATTCTGTTGGAACTTCGATCTGAAACAAGACACCATGATGGATGATTAAATCAAATAAACAAGCATAAAACATTGAAAGTACTATAGGATCCACCGATCCAGTATGTAGATAGGCAATATATAGATACCATCTGATCTGGTGACTGGTTTTGAAGATTAGTAGATCTAGGCATTTCTGACTCCTGCAATTCTAAAGATTCTGCTTCCTTGTTTTTCTTTAAATCTGTTAGTAAAAATAGAATGTTTACCAATGCAAGGATACTAACAATAGATGGTGACTAAAGAAACAACTACACAAACCCAAAATTAAACAAAGGTTTGTATGGAAGATATTGGTAGACAAATGGTCCTTTTTTGCTTACAACACACAATACTAGAACTGTTTATACATTGTACATGATAGATTTATTTTCTTCTAAATCTACAATTCACTAAATGTTTCCAAATAATTAGCAAGTGCTCTGAAATGTTAACATTCAAAATCAAGCCAAATTTCACAAATTTAAAGGGCACATCTTAGCATTGCCAAAAAAGATGTAACTAATGTGTTTAGATAATTGAAAATCTAACCTCAAGTACTACCCAAGTATACTTAAATCTTTTTGAAAAGATTGTAATAGCCTTTTTCCTTTTCCACTTTTCGCTCAAGAAAAGAAAAAGTTCCCCTTATGTTGCTCTTTAAGGTTTGACTGATCTTACCTAAGAACAAAAAATTAATAGAACTAGAATTTCAATCAAGCACATAGATTAGTGAAATTACCCCAACTGTAAGCAGAAAAAGGTAATTGATTAAATGATATTTGATTTTTATAGTTCAGAAAAAAGCTGCAAGCCATCAAAAAGGAATGCAAATGCTAATGATACTTGACCAATCCATAACTATGTGCAATTCATGATTCTTTTCACTTTGAGCAAGGGGAAAGAGGGAGCGATAGTATATGCAGGGTGTCAAATTGAAGGAGATTAGGTCAAATTGCAAGTATATCCTATGGAATCGCTTAAATTAGATATCACATGTTTAACACATTTCCATTGTTGCCAAATGATTTTGGGAGCTAACGAGGTATGCGTTTTGCCTCTCCCATTAAATCGATGAAAAATTAATGCTTGTAACAACTGAAAAATACAAACTGAGAATAAGACATACCTGAATGGTTGATCAATAAGCCAAGCACTGAGTAATGCGACGATGAGGAGAAGACTCTAGGGCTCTATGTTTTTCGATCGACCCAATCCGTCAAATGAATAGGAGAGAAGTAACACATTTATAATGTGAAAAATTTCCAAACTTATTTAATGAAACCAATGCCGCTCCCAAAAAGTAAAATGAAGTCCAAGTGGCTAAATCTTGTGCGACTATGACACATATAAAACTCCTATTTGTTTGTGTAAGCCATAAAGCGCCAAGGTTAAAGATAAAAGCTTGGGTTCAAAATAGTCAGCAAGCAGTCTATATCCAAGTTAGAGCAACCAAGAGCAGCTTGATTTGAATATAAATTTATAAAGATGTTAACTAGTTTTGAGGCACCATAGTTGATATTAGGAAGCAATGCAAGATTATACCACCAACCATTCTAGATTGTCTCTGTTTCATGATGATAAAAATAGTTTTTTTCCTCATTGTACCATTCATGAATACCTTAATTTACCAAATGGAACACTTCAAAATGAAAATAAATGTTAGGAAAAGACATTCAATGTTTAGACAACACATATTTGCCTTCCATTCTTAGCTATTACTATTGAAACTATCTTTATACCAATTATGAGTTGATATTACTTAAATGTGCCTCTCAATCTCATAAAGTGATGAATAAGGAGAAGTATATGTTGCTTCCATATTAAACTACAAGTTGATTTGGTGAAGAATTATTCCACTAACTTGAAAGAATCTTTGGAACCTCTATAGAAAATTATTCCATAGATTTAC